GGCCATGCTGAAACTCAGAATGAGGAGTTTCATCTGGGTCTCACTTGGTCCATGCTCTGCTGCTTTCCTGGGAGCATTAGCCGGGAACTGGATTGAAGATGGAGCAGCAGGGTTATGACACTGCAGTGTGTGGTTTAACCTGTTGTTCCACAGTGCAGCTCCCCTTTATCTCCATGTTACTATTCTATCTTTTCTTTGTGTGTTAACTCCATGCATCCTCTTTCTCAGTAGCTCCCAGTTCAATTCTCACTTCCAGGAACTTCCTCCCAATGCCTTTGATTGGCCAAAACCCAATTGTGCATACTTACACCATCCACCTCTCCTCTATAGGATTTACTGGGGTTGTAAGTGTATATTCATTTCTATTATCATCTGATTGAGATAAGATGACAGCTACTGTGTAATTTTTTTCACCATATGTTCCTAGCCTTCAGCTCAGTCCTTGGCATATTAGTGATTGCTCAATAAATGCTTGCAAAATGAATAAAATGTTGCTGATGAGAAGTCAGGCATCAGAGTGCCTATATTAGAACCTGTTTAATATGTTCTGTATGATGACCAGCCTCTGGTTGGTAGACAGTAGATAGGCTGATACAGAGATAAAAGGTCTTAAATAATAGGTGTGTATAAGAAAAAAGAATCAGTAGCAACAACAAAGTAAATAATACCAGTAGCTCTCCTAACCAAAATAAAATGTTAGACATGGACCTGAGTAATTGGACAATGAAGGTAAAATATTTTTGTTATCAAAATAAGTAGCAATTGCTTCTATGGTTGGGAGGGTGCATTGACATGGAGATTGGCATTTTCACAGTGTATTCATACCTGTCCCTAGCATAGTGTGGAATCAGCTGCTGTGGAATAGGAGCAGGTAGCACTTAACTCTGCTGTCATCATGTCGCAGATACATTTTCAAAGGGGTGAAGGGATCTTTAAAATGGCCTGGGCCAGTGTGTGACTCAGGAGCAGAATTCTCTGGTGGTTGTATCCTTAAAGGTTTCATTTCAAACGTGGGACTAACATTTGGGGTAGCCAGCTGAGGTGAGTTATCTGAAGCACATTTTTACTCAATAAGTACACAAGTTACTAAATTATCTTGCTAATTTAAATGTTCCAAAGATTAAATGCATCATGGGATTATCTAGCATGATAGTAGGATGTTTCTACATGTTCGTATCTATATGCTTCCTATTTGGGATTTTTTTTATCAGTTATACCTGAAGATGGATGACCAAAGATTTGGCTAAGACCCAAGCATCATATTTTCCTGTGTTAGGATTGCTTACTGCAGTGCTCATTGTATAAACAAATAGGCCTCCAAATACTTAACAATATCAGATACAACAACAGCCTAAATTTCAGCCACATAATACAAGGCTGAAAAGTAAGTGTTCTTGTTGAAAGGAGCCTCTATTAAAACATGATGACTTGAAGATACAGGTTATGCGTATCTTAAGGCTCTGCCATATCGTAGGGCCTTGTTAACATCTGTGTTCATCCAAACAAGTAGGAAAATACTTAAGAAGGGGTATACTTGCTTTTCAAAAATACTTAGCCTGGAAACAGCACATTTATTTGATCTTTCAGTCCATTGCTTAGAATTGAAACATATGGCTGGCAATACTTAGCTCCAAGGCAGGCTAGAAAACGTGTTAGCAATCTTGGTCCAATAACAAAAAGGAAAAATATTTGTGTTGTATAGCTAGCAATCTCTGACATAACCACTTTGTACTGTGTCTCCTGACAGAGTTCCAGAGTCTAGAAATTTGGGCTGTTTGGTTCAAAAGGGAATGAAGCATTAGAAGAAGGTACCTACTTTGCTACATGTGAGCTGAGTTTCCAAGTTTATTTCAACTGATTGAAGCAATAGTAGACTAAGAAAATTTTGGGTGCCAGACTTTTATGATCAGAAGGCAACCTTAGTGGTTAACAGCTTCCATTCCCATCACAGATAATTAAGCCTGGGCTTGGATCACCTCACTGGAGAATCACATTCATACTCTAGGTCTGCATCTCAATAAGTAGCCCAACATTCTCTCTGTTCTCAAATTAGAATAATCCTTGATTTCATTCTTTTAGTCTCCATGCCAGCAATCCATAAGTTATGTAGCTGCAATATAGATCTCAAGAATTGTTTGTTTTTGTTCATTCATATTCCTGCTATTTTAAGTCTAAACACACATACACACACATACACACACAGAGGCATGCACATATTCACACACAGGAACTTCGAAAATGACATGGAAAGTGAAATGAAAGCACAAATTTATTTTCATGTAAAATAATCGAAATGGAGTAAATAAGAGATCTCCAAAGTGTTCATGAAAAATATATGTTATGGAGGAATGACACGTAGTTTTCAAAATATTTTTGTGCAAAAATAAGCATCTTTTAAAATTAAAAAATTTGGACATGTTTAGTACAAATATATATTAGAATATTTTTGATTTATTGTCGATTGACCACAAATGCATAACATATGCATATGGAGGACTAACAGTGTGTGTGTGTATCTTCATACATCTGTGCAAACATGCCTGTATAGTAAGTTTCTGAAATTAAGAATTTATTTGTTAGAGATTTATTTATTTATTTGAAAATCAGAGTTACAGAGAGACAGGGAGAGAGAGAAAGAGAGAGAGAGAGAGAGACCCACCAGGCTGAAACTTCAGGAGCCAGTAGCTTTGTTTGGGTCTTCCATGCGGGTGTAATGTGCCCAAGAACTTGGGTCATCTTTCACTTCTTTTCTCCAGGCCATTAGCCGGGAGGTGGATATGAAGTGGAGCATCCGGGGTTCCAACTGGTGCTTATTATGAGATGATGGTGGCAGTAGCTTTACCCACTGTGTCACAATGCCTGTCCCGGTTAATAATTTCTTAACAATCAAATTGACCAGATAATTTCTTCATTTCTGACCTTTCTGGCTTTCCTGTGTTTTGTGCTAAATAAATTTTCCTCTTCTTTGTCCTCCCTTGTAATTCTTTCTGCAGGCTCTTCTTCATTCCCCTGTGTTTAAATGATGTTACATTTTCTTTTCCTTTTTGTCTTTTTATTCTATGTCTTTCTTTGAATAATGTTAACATTGCTCTCATCTAGTATTCACAAGTTCACAACTCACGTGTCTATTTATCCATTTAACTTCTTCCCTGATTTCCAAACCCTTGAATATTTCTACCTTGATTTTCTACAAGCATCTGATTCTCAATATAACCTTAAGTGAATCTCTCATCTTCCTCACCACCAAATTTGCTAAACTCTGGGCCTGAAATATAATGCAGTCTACCTCTGGAGAGAACATTTTTAGTAGACCAGAGTGAGGGAAATGACATAGAAAAAAAAAAAGGTAAAACACTAAGAAAGTATTTGAAATCATCTGGAGATTAGCAACAATATGAATTCATATGGAAATGTTGGAACCCAAGTCATACCTTAAGTAACCCCCTTGACACTGAGGAGCTGAACTTCTGTCCTGCTATGGTCAGTCAACCATTGTTTGAGATCTATGTGATGAAAGGTGGCTTATCTATGTCTTGGGCTTTAGGAATACTCTCTGTCTCAGCTCCTTCCATTAAGTCAGCTTCATCCAGTTAACTCCCTCAAGATAACTCTGTTATGATCTCCTTGGGGATACCTTCCCTTAGCTCTGTTAACATCTGAACTGTTTAACATCTGAACTCGCTCAGCATCATGTAGCTCCTTCCTTCAGAACTCATTTCATGGTGAAATACAGTCGCAGATTACTTGTCTGTCATCCCTCTTCAAATTTGTACTCTCACAACAGTAATTTTGTTCTTCTTTGTCTCTAGCATACAGTTCACACATTGGATGTTGTGGTCATACACTAAATAGCTCTCACATTAGTGAAAAAAAAACATTTGTAAAGGGAAGATATGGAAAAATTTTAGGTGCCTCATATGAAAAAAGCTTCGTAAACTCTAGCCTGATATTTATATAGGGAGATTATGATATCTGACCATTTGCAGTTAAATGGTATCAACTAGAGACCATTATGTTCAGTGAAATAAGCCAATCCCAAGAGAGTATCATATGTTCTCTGTGATATAAGGCAATGTTCACATTAAATACAAGATCAATAGATATATAGGTAACCATTTTTATACATATATTAATCTAGAGGAACTGTATAATTGAGACTAGAATATTGGAAAGCGAAGATACATCTCTATTCCCAAATAAAAGATGAACTCCCAATGAAACTGTTAAATGTATCTTGACAATAGGATGAGATTATCCATATCTACGATGTCAGGACACGCTCAAATATAAGAATGGTGGACTTGTGACTGTTGCTACACTATTGTAATTATAGGGGGGACAGTAAGAGGGAGGGGAAATGGGGATGGTAGAAGAGGAAATCCCTGAGCCTAAGGAACTGTCATGAAAATCAAAATCAAAAATAATAGATACTGACTAGGGGACTAATTACAGAAGGACAGCCTATTCTATCTTTTACTATTCTAACCATTATTATCCTCTTGGCTCATTGAGCTCCATGCCAGTGAGACCCAAAAGAATCAGAAGAAAGCTCCAGCTTTGCCATTCACCTACAAGTTTACCACTGGAGATCCCTCTGTGCAATTTCCCTCTTGAACCATTGTGTCCATTTTCCACTGCTGCTTTAATAGAAATGGCACAAACTTGTTGGCTTAAGGCAATACTGATTTATCTGGCAGTTCTGTAGGCCAGGAATCTAAGCAGACTCAGCTGGAGGATCTACTTAGCATTTCCCAAACTACAGTCAGAGTGTCTATTGTACTGACTTAGAACTTAGAGTAGGGCCACCTTTTTAAGTTCCTCTTTTCCATGCACAGGAACACAATGACATAGGTGCCATTAGAAGTCAGGGATCATGAGGGCCAAAATTCTGCCTACTACATCTCACATTCAGAAGGTCAAGCAGAGTCACTGTACCCTAAGTTCTGATGCCCAACTAAGATAGGACAGCTGTAACTTTCCTTTCTTCCTCCTTTCTCTAGATGAAAGACCTGCGGCATGAGAATATTAACCCTTTATTGGGCTTCTTCTGTGATTCGGGGATGTTTGCCATTGTGACTGAGTTCTGTTCACGGAGGAGCCTTGAAGACATACTGATAAATCAGGATGTGAAACTTGACTGGATGTTTAAATCATCTCTCCTGCTGGATCTCATCAAGGTTGGTGTAAAGACTGAGGGAACATTAGGTTTTCCCTGAAGATTAGAGCTTTAAAATTTTTTGAATATTTTATTTTCCTCTGATCATTGTGATCATCCCGCTCCTCTACCTTCCTTTCCAAAGGCTGTTCTTCATTCTTCTCACAGTGCATATCTATTACAAGGTGCTGATAGTTTGCCTGACCTCTTCCTTCCTGATTTGAGGACTAGATTTTGTGGTCATTGTGCACTCTTCTGCTTTAAGTAAATGCAAGTGGGGAAATGCTCATTTCCAGAATCTTGAATGCTGTTGAGCCCTACCTCTTCACTTTTATCTTTCAGAAACAGGTCTTTTTCATACCATAGATGTGAACATGGAACTCAGTTCTCCTGAAATGCCAAAGGACAATCTAATAAGTAGTGCCTCTATTTTCTGAGCCAAGGAATACTGATAACCAAAAACTGGGTTCATGATATGATGCATCAGTGGGCTTTCAGAGAGCCCACTATCTCCATAGAATGATATGTAAATTGTGTGTATGTATATTTTTTTATGGAAATGACCTGGATATTTAGTTACTTGTTAAATTTCCTGCATATTGATTATTTTTAACCTTTTAAAAGAGATTTATCTTACTTATTTGAAAGACAGAATGACTGAAAGTGAGAGAGATCTTCCATTTACTGTTTACTTTTCAAATGGGTGTAATGGCCAGGGCTGGGCAATGTTAAAGCCAGGATCCTGGAACTTCATCTAGGACTCTCACATAGATAATAGGGTCCAGGGAGTTAGATCATTATCTGCTGTTTTCCCAGATGTATTAGCAAGCAGCTGGATAGCAAATGGAGCTGGGGGCATTTAAGTTGGTGTGCTTTTTTCACCCCCAAGATTTGTTCATTTTCATTGGAAAGGCAGAATTTACAGAGAGAGGACAGACAAAGATCTTTCATCTGCTAGTTCATGCCCCAAATCGTTTAAGCAGAAGGAGCTGAGCTGATCTAAAGCCAGGAGCCTCCAGGTCTGCCACGCAAGTGCAAGGCAAGGTTACTTTGGGTCATTTCTGCTGTTTTCCTAGCCCTTAACTGGATGGGATGTGGAGCAGCTGGCACACACATTGGCACATATATGGGGTGCCAGAACTTGCAGGTAGAGGATTAACCAGTTGAGCCATCACATCAGCCCTGAATTGGTACTCTGATATTGGATGCCACTGTTGGAGGCAGCTGTTTAACCAGCAGAACCACAACCCTGGCTCTCAGTCATGACCTTTGTATGGTGGTCTTACACCTTTCAAGGGCACTTCAAAGGGGAAGACGTAACTTCATTCTGAGTCTCTGTATGATAGATGTGATCAGCCTCCTTGTACAAAAGCTCAGAGAACTAAATCTTTTCTTACACGTTGTCTGACAAACATCATAGGTTTTTAATAAATGTTTGTCAGTTTTCTAGTAAGTGGCAGAGCTAATAACAGAATCCAAATCTCTTGCTTGTTATTTCAGTAGTCTAGGAAGAAGCCAATAAGTTAAGAGAAGGCTAGAAATTACAATCCTTTGAGTCTTATGAGGATTGAAGCCCTAGCATTAGAAAACCTGGGGGAAACCTTGGCTACTATAAAGTCCACATGGAAATAGTAGAAGAGTATACACTTTCTGTGAGCCCAAAATATAAAACATCCAACTGCAAAGGGGGTCAGTTTGCAGTGCCTTTTCAAATTGAAAGTACTCTTGGAATAAACAGGTCTGAGTTGGCTACATTAGAATACATATGAATTTATATGCAGAATAATTAAACTCACCTGATGGAGAGTTATAGTTGATCACATTTGAATGTCATATGAAAGCTGCCAAGCAAGCATAGTTAGTAACCCTCAACCTTCTCCTGTTTTGTTGTTTATAATTCCAAAATTAGTATATTAAATTTTAAAATCAAATTATATCTATCAGAAAGTACTGGTGTGTTACTCCACCTTCTTTCTCCATATCCACACCCCCAAGATGACTACTAGCATTATTCTTGTGATGTATTTCATTGAAAAAATGGTCATTTTATTTATGTGGAAGGCAGGAAACTGCAAGATAGACCACCAGAGATCTCTCTGCTGGTTTCATGCGCGAAATGATCGTAATAGCCAGGGATGGGCCAGACAGAAGCCAGGAATCTGGAACCCAATCTGGGTCTCTCACATGGGTGGCAGGGACCCCACTATTTCAGCCAGAAATCACTGCTTCTCCATCTATACAATACCAGGAAACCAGAATCACAGCAGAGCTGAGCCTCAATCCCTGGCATTCTAATAAGGGGTGTGGATGTCTCATGCACTTAACTGCCACACCAAATGCTCCTCTGCTTGTAATTCATATGTATTTATTTACGTTACAGATGACTCTTTTTAATATACATGCTGTCACATAGTTCTTCAACTTACTATTTTTTTTTTTTACTCCTTTTATGGCCTCAAGTTGTTTCTGTGTCAGAATATACAGATTTATCTCACTCGTTTTAAATGCAGCAGAACATTCCCTGGTGTAGTCAAACCTTGTGGAGTCAGTTCTTGATTTTTAGTGTGTTTCCATATAATATTATAAAAGTATGGCATTTATAAAAGTAAAGCTGCAATTGTCATTTTTCTACTTCCCTCCTTGTGAGTATATGCAAGCATTTCTCCAGATAAGAAGCTGAATCCTTGAGTCACAGGGTATGCAGATTTGGCACTGTGTTGCACTAGCTTTTATCTCTCCCAACAAAGGATGAGAGTCGGGTTACACCTGTTGGGGGGAATCAGAATCTCCAAATTTCTGGAGATAATTTGTGTAAAGATCTATTTTCTTTTGTCTGAAGCTTCATTAAGTCTCCTAGTAACAAAGATTTTCTATATACACAAGATACAATTTTCTACCAAAGCAGAAAATTTTATTACTAAAAGGTACCTGATAACCGGTTGTTGCCAAAGATCTGCTTTGCATGTGTATTAGCGGGAAATTAAAGCCTTAATTCTGGATCACAACTGCTCATGCCATTAATAATCTTAGAAAGTGACCCTAAAAGCCTAAAACAGTTACATAAATTGCTAAATAAATCCTGCTGTGCCATCTGCAGGGCATGAAGTACTTACACCACAGAGAGTTTGTTCATGGGAGGCTAAAGTCACGGAACTGTGTGGTAGATGGACGTTTTGTACTCAAAGTGACGGATTATGGCTTTCATGACATTTTAGAAATGCTCAAACTCTCTGAAGAGGAACTTTCTGCAGAAGGTAAGCAATGAATTGTACCCTTGTAATGTACACAAGGTAACTCCAAGATTCAAATGAAGATAGGCACTTAGTTAAAGCCTCAGGCTGACTTGAGCTCCCCACTTTTGTTGAAAATTTAGCCTTATTTCCAAGCCAAGGGACTTGAATGAATTCTGCGTGCTGCAGCCTCTGCCCAGTCTTATCTTCTGAACAAAGCCCATGCAACAATGTTCACTTCCTGCTGTGGCAGGATTAGGTTGCATTGTTTGGAGACCCCAGCAAGTCCCTGGAGAAACTGGCCTAGTGCTAGGCACACAGTAGGTGCTCAATAAATACTTGTCAGATTGAATAGAGGGTAATTTGGGAGTTGGACCCCCTACAGAGTGCATTCTAGAATGGGATGTCATTACAGAATGCCAGTACTGTCTGTTGGAGAGGGAAAAGCAAGGAGGGGGCCACTAGCAAATGAATGCTCTGTGGGTTCTGGGGGATGACTTCAGAAAGAACTATGACCTTCTAGTAAATAAGTAGGCATGCATGCAATGGCCCTTTGGTGTTTTGTTTTCTATTTAGTGTACCTCTAACAGCACTAAACAATGCCTGTAGGGGTCATAACAGATTCAGGAAACCCAAGAAAGTTGATTGTTGGTGGTGGTGAGGGGTGGGTAAGAACAAGGGGGAATTAACTGGGGGAAGAGTGGGAGGAAGATGGAGAAACGGGCGGCGGGGGGGGGGGAGAATAGTAAAGGTTAATACACTTAGGAAATGTGGGCATTAAAAATTTGATCAATATTACAAGGATAAAGAATCGTGACACACACCATATTTATATATAAAGAGAAGCTGAAGGAGAGAGGCAAAGCCACACCGCATTTTCATATTCTTAAACAATCTTTAGTATAAGCTGTTGACTTCACTATATAAAAGAAAAATGAAAGATCTGGAGACATATACAGAGATAGGCCACTTACTTGTGTCATTATCTTGCTCTTTTACAAGATTTGTGGAATATTTAACTTTAGGAAGTCATATAGTACAACTTAGTCAAAATACAAATGAGACAATGGAGATTCTTTTGATTTACCTAAAACGGCAGATATACATCAGATTTTGAAGCTCCAGGACTCCAAATCAGGTCCTCTGAACCCTAACCACTGCATTTAGTCAAACTGCAATTTACAAAAGCAGTTGCCTGGTTCTCTGCCCATTCTTGCTTTCCAAGACTTGCTGCTCCTGGTAATCATGGTAAAAAAGAAGTGTCATATCACCTCTCTCTCTCTCTGGACCTGTTTTTGTTTCTGACATAGTTGTATGGGAATTATTGGCCAATCTGTTTGGAACCTTGAAAGCCTTGTATCAATTCTAAGATATTGGGACAACAGCTATGGAGATGGAGCTATGGAGATGGAAAATCTGCCAAATTTAGTCATTTATAGATATTAAGAAACAATTCAGCTTCCCAATGTTCCATTAAATTCACAGTTGGCCAACTTTTAAACTTAAACAGATCTTGTTTCCAAGTGAGTATAGAGGTTTTTCCTCTGGTGGGCTATTTCTTTCTCTGTCTTGTATCTTCATTCCTTCTTTCTCCAGTCAGGATTCTCAGTCCAGTCTTCACAGAGTGTTGCCAGAGGGAACTGTCTAAACTGCAAATTTGATCACCTTGCAGCTGTGCTTAAATCCATTGAATAGCTTCCCATTCCTCTTAGGATAAAGTTTAAATTTCTTTACATGGCTTATGAGCTCTGTGTGTTCTGATCCTTGCTGAACTCATATTTAGTTAACCCCTCCCCAACTCTGTTATGGCAAAGCTGAACTCCTTCCAGTGGTTGTTTTACACAGGATCTAACTTGCTTCCAGACCTTAACACATGCTACGCTCTATGCCTGGGACACGCTCCTCTTCCCACTCATCCTACACATTTGCATCTGCCTAAATTCTACCTCTTCTTCAGGGCTCGACTCAAGTATTACTGCCTTAGAAGGCTTTCCATGATGCCAGCACTCAGCTAAGTTTCCCTCTTTATGATCATTTCGGATCTTGAACGTTGTGGAAACATCATGCTGTCAGTATAACTAATCAGTTGTCGTCTTGCCCCACACAAACTATGAATTCTGTGAAGGTAGAAAACAGGTTTACCTTTCTCAGAGCTTTCAAAACATCTGGCCAAATGAATATTTGCTGAAGCAACTAAAGAATGAAGTGAAATGAAATAATGAAACTTGTGTGCACTTCTTACCTGAAGAGATGGATGAAATGTTATTTGGAAGATCCTAACTAGTGGCCAGGCTGAGATTTCGATTTCTAGTTCTGAGTTACTTTGTGCTATACTGCACCACATTGGCTTTTCAAAATCAATTTTATCACCATAGCAATGATCAGACTTAGTATTGGCTGCAGTAGGTACAAAAACAAGCCAAAGTAATTGTTCTAGCTTTTTGGAGAGTTCAAGTCTGATGATATCTAGTAGCTCACTTGATTCTGGACTGAGATGAGGAAATGGAGGTGGGTTGTAAATGTATTCATTACTGTCGACTTTCAAGTATAAAGCCTTATTTGAGCCATTAACAACATACATGCTGGTGCGCTCTGAAAATACGATTTAGTAATGGCTGTATCTAATCACCCAGCTTTTTTTTTTAACCAGGGAATTTGGCTGTCTTTTCCCTTCTTGTGCTTCTAAATGTGCAGGGCGAGAGGATGTTAGGAAGATGAAGAAGTCCCATGCTATTTTCCCTGCTTCCAAATGACCACTTCTGCCCTCCCCCACAAAACTATGGTGCCTAAAATGCCATGGTCAGAAATGTATTTCTTTGACTAACGTATCGTTCAATCTTTTTAGTTTTGTTTAATATTATCAAGCCTTCTAGGCAGTGACACAGAAGGGCACTGGAGCAAATCTATCTGGGACTTTCACAGGAAAGCGTGGTTGGTAGGTAGAAGGTCAAAGGGGCCTGGAGAGGCAGAAGGGGTGACAGAAGCTGGGTATTCTGGAGAACAAGAAGAGAAGATTGGTCCATGACTGAAGATGAAGTCAGAATTTATTTTTCACCATTTCAATCAGGGTTGGCAGAAAAGAAGCATTTCTGGAGTGAGTTTCTGTTGCTTGGGTTCACTAACAAATCAAAATAATCTCTGACCTTCCACACTCATTTCCAGCTTTGTAGGAACTTATCCTCCAGGCACCCTTCCCAACACTCCAAATCTAACTCCATGGAGCGTTAGTCATCACTACCTGCTGCCCCTCCTCCCTGTAGTGCCCCTTACACCTCCAACCCTTAACAGACCTTCTCCAACCTCTCTACCTGGACATCAACCTGTCATTTTCTCCAACTCCTTTCCCTTCCCCAAGCACAATGAGCCCATCCGCAGCCCTGTCCCTCCTTCTCCACTATGGCCTTCCCCTAAAGCTGCTTCCCCACCCTGATGTGGCTGCCCTTTCCCCACTCAGACCTCCTTCACTTCCCTGCCCTCTCTTACTGCAATAACTTCCTAGCTGGTCTCCCCCTCTCCTTCAATTCAGCTTGTGCAGGTTGCCAGATTAATCTTCCCAAACAAAGTTTTCATCAAAACCCTTCTCCAGTTCCAGCACCCCTACTGCCTTTTGTATTCACTCCAAATGCCTTCATTTGGCTCTCAGGGCCTCTCACCTTCTGGCCCCATTCTTCCAGCCATTCTCCCTCCCCCACTTCATCAACCCCATTTCTCTTTGTCATTATTCCTTAACAGAGGCCAAGCTAATCTGCTTACCACCCTCCCACCACCCGCAATTTGCTCCTTTCTGCCTCTTGTGCTTTTGCGCGTACTGTTTTTTCTCCCTGCAAAGCCCTTGCCCTCTCAGATTCAGAAAGCTGCATCATTGACCATGTTAACAAGCACAAATAAGATTTAACTTTTCCAGGAAGCCTTCCTGGATTAATTTTATCAGCTCAGTTTATTTTCTTAATAGCTTACACCTGATAAAATTGTCAATTTTCCACTTCAAGAAGTGGCAATTCCATATAATTCAACATAAAATATTTTCTTCCATCTTTTGGCTATCTCTTCATGTTATTCAAGTGTAGTTCTTTAGATTAAGAGGCCACCCAGAGCATTTTTTGACATTCTATTTGCTATAACTTCTGAAAGGAATAATCTTTTATTCCCCAATGAGGCCTGAAATGCAGGAAGCATATAACAGGTGAATATATTGTGGCTGTTATAACTGTTTGTACTGTATCTCAGTAACGGTTACACACATCTACCTTTCCCACTGGTTTGTGAACTCCACAAGGGCAAATGCAGGGTCTGATTCTTTCTTGGCACTATCAACATGACTAGCACATGGCTGGTGCACAGTAGATCTTGGATAAATATATATATATCTAAGTTGAAGAAATTGCTGTGTTTTTGACCCCAGAAAGGAATAGAGGAGATCTGGGCATCCTCTCATTCCTTTAGAGAAGATTTGAAGAAAATATCTTGCAAATCCCTAGGTTCTTGGCACAATCAAATCACCAGAGAAAGAGATCTTAGGAAACAGAAACTTTATGGGGCAACTAGTCTGGCAGCTCACTCACCTTTCCCTGGAAACCTTCCACCTTCTTACAGGCTCAAGAGAGCAAGAAACCAAGTGTCAGTTTCTTTAGTTGGGGCCTCTCTGCTTTCCCCACACCTCTGCTGTTTGTTTATATGGTTTTTAATGGAGAAAATCACGTATTTTCTCTGCATATAATTCCTTCCATTCATACATTCTGGCCCCAGGGGACACTAGCATGCCAATCTAACAAAAATATCAAACATCATCTTTCAGAGCTCTTAAGGATATTTCTCATGTCAGTTTATTCTCCTTGCATTCATTACATGATGCTTGCTTTTCAGAGTTGCTGTGGACGGCCCCTGAACTGTTGAGAGCCCCAAAGGGCAGCAAGCTAGGTTCTTTTGCAGGAGATGTCTATAGCTTTGCCATCATCATGCAAGAAGTGATGGTCCGGGGTACTCCATTCTGCATGATGGATCTGCCTGCTGAAGGTAAGCAAGCAGTGACTAAGAGTCACTAGGGACCCACCCTGACCCAACTCATCAGGCCAACCCAAGCTGTTATGATTTGCCAATGGAGTTTGTTCTTTGTGCTAACAGCCTGTTCATCTTCCAGTAGCCTTTGTTGTCTGACATTTGGAGCCAGAGAGTTTTAAATATCTAGGTGAAACTCCCTCACCCAGGAAAATGATTCTGTTTCAAATCATCACATAACCAAAGGTCCATAGGATGTATGTTAATTTTTCTATCCTTTTTTTTTTTCTCCATGGTTCCCTCTGTTCCTTTGAGACACTCCCTGCTAAACATTTCAGTGCACTTCATGATGCTCCTGGATATTAGGATAATCTTCAATGTTCTTGTGACGTGCCATAGACTTACATTCTTAACTCCTATAAAAAGACATGTTAAAGGCAAATGTTTGGTCTAGTGATTTAAGATACTGTTTAGGATGCCTGCAATCTACATCAGAGAACCCAGGTTCAATTCTTGGCCCCAGTTCCTGACTTTGCTTTCCTATGATGTAGACCTGGGAGGTAGTGATGACAACTTAAATAATTGGGTTCCTATCATCCATAAAGAAGACCTGGATTATGATTCCAGCTCTTGGCTTTGCTTGCAACTCAGCCTTGGATGTTGTGTGCATTTGGGCAGTGAACCAGTAGATGGGAGTTCTATTTCTCTCAAAAGCAAGAAGTTAAAAAAAAAATTAGGCAAGATCCAGCAATGGAACAACAACAACAACAATAAAAAGATGGACAAGGATGTGAGAGCAAGTGAGTTACATACATAATCTTCAAGTATAGGCCACATGATACTTAATAATTACAAAGTGGAAAATGGCAAGTTCGCAAAGTGTGAATCCTATAGACATTGTCTTAAGAGCATTCAAGATTATCATCACTAATAATAAAGCATGTACTTTTATATGATGCATGAAGGAGGATGAAACATTACTTCTGTGATATTCCTGCTAAAATATGCATATCTTCAATCTGAGTAGAAGAAAACGTCAGAGAAATCTCAGTTGAGAGACACTTTACAGTATAACTGATTAACACTCATCAAAGTACCAAAGTCATGAAAAGACAAAATAATCTTAAGATATCAGTTGCAGTATGGGTTTGTGGATTATGAAACAGAAGACTACTATGTGGGAAAAATGATGAAATTCAAGCACGGACTCTAGTAGTAACATTGTGTGAATGCTAGCTTCCTTTGCACTATGGTTATGCAGCTTACTAACATTAGAAACAACGAAGGGTTCGCAGTCTCTGTGAAACTTTTAATTTTTTCTGGAAGTCTATGTTTATTCAGAATTAAAGATTTCAAAGTGATAAAAAGGCAAGCAAGTCACTGAGATATTCTGTGCTCTACTTTGGGCCCCATCATTGCTCTTCTACTGAAAGCTCTTCAGCTATTCTTCACTACTTGTTAAATGAAGTCTAGACTTTTCACTTGACAAAGAAGGTTCCTCTAAATCAAGATTCTCACAATTTCTCTAAGCTTATCTTTGGTCATTATCTGGATTCAGGCTAGATAGCATTACTGGCAATGCTTTAAAAACCAGAAGGTCTCTTTCACTTCTCCTATTTGCAATGCCTGAAATTCCTCCACCCACTCACTTCCCAACCTGCCTTATCCAACTGGAGTCCCTTCCTCTTGGAAGACTTCTTTGACTCCTCAGTGTAGATTAGGTGCTGCCTTCATATTCACTTGTGGTTTTACATGCTAAAAGGACTTAACATTATTTGCTGTTGTTTATCTCAATTGGACTGAACTCCTCAAGAGCATGAGTCACACTGGCCATAAGCAAAGAAATGATCAGTTTCACTCAGCAAAGTTCTGAAAAAGTGACAAGGGCTCCTTCTGCTTCAGAGTCTCTGTGTAGAGAAGTTTCATTTCAAGAGATTCATTCCCATGGACTCTCTTATACTGAGAGCAGGATACAGCAATGGAGAAATAACTACTGGTGAAGACTGGACTTAATGGAACTGAAGGTTATGATATCATAAAGAACTTTGAAGTCAGAACAACAGAAAACTCTGTCATGGAGACAGGGAAGCACTTACGGGATCTGTAGGTATTGTAATCAGTGTAGGAGATGGAAGGGAAAACTTGTGGGGCAAGCAAGATTTGGCTCAAGAGGTGAATGTTAAGAGTTGCAAGTGGTGGAGAGGATAGTACTGGGTGAGAAGAAGTGGGGTGGGGGAAGGTGGAGAGAGAAAGAGAATGAGAAAGAGAGATCCCTTTTGTTGATTCACTCCCCAAATACCCACAATGAGAACTCAGTCCACATCTACTATGTGGGTGATAAGAACTCAACTTCTTGAGCCATCATCACCCACTGCCACCAAGTATTTGCATTGGTGATAAGTTGAAATAGGCAGCTCGAATTGGGAGTACAAACCAGGCATGCCTTCTGATACAAGTGGGGCGTGAGAGTACTAACTGTTAGCCCTAACACCTGCCCAGAACAGTTTGAATGACTTAGAGAAAGCTGGGCTGGAAGCAGAGAGAATTGAGTTTGAGGTCCAGTGTGAGGTGCTGTGACCTTAGGGCTAACAATTTTCTCTTGCTCCCAAGAAATTTTGTTCTCTTGGGAAAAGATCAGCCTGGCTTATCTAGGTCTTTGGGTACTGTTGAATGTTAGATATGAGTAGGGAGTTTGGAATCTCCTAGTAGAGGTTTGAGATATTTGAAAACAGAACAGTGTGGTAGATTAAGACTGACTGGCTTTAAATTCAAAATCTGTCATTTAATAGCCATTTATATCAGGCAAGCTATTATATATATAATGTTCATCCTATACTGGTACATGGTAAATATTCCAGTGAGAGTTCATGGACTAGCAACTGGTAGGATCTTTATGAGCTCTAGATCAAAATTCTGGGCCTATGCTGTGCCTTGGCCAATGGGGAGAGATAAATGAGTGTTTGTGGGCATTGTAAGGCTTATATGATTTGGGTATGGGCGAGGGAAGCCAGCACATTGAAGTTATTGCAATAGAATGGAGATTGGATAGGCCACATCCAAAACCTTGTAGAATCATGGTAAAGCAGTGTGTACATGATAACAATAGTTCAACTAATTAGCTTCTTGCTACCCTCCCCTCATTTCATAATGGAGCTTTTGTTTACATGCAATTTGTAGTTAGGCTACGAAAGAAGAAAGAGAAGAAGATGGCCTTTCTGTCTTTTCTCCCAAACTCTCCTTTTTATGGTCAAAACCCAGTTATCTTTGCTGAATCCTGTTTTTTCCCCCTCATGTGACTTATAAATCCTTTATCTTGCATCTGGACAGAAATTATAAACAGACTTAGAAGGCCTCCTCCTGTGTATAGACCGGTGGTTTCTCCTGAGTACGCCCCTCCAGAGTGCCTGCAGTTGATGAAACAGTGCTGGGCTGAGGCTGCAGAACAACGACCAACTTTTGATGAAATATTTAGTCAGGTGAGAACTCTGCAAATTTCATCACTGGCCAAGAGGCCATCATAAAGTCAGCAAACCTGAGGATAACCCCTTGGAATTTTTTTGCCTCTTGCTAAGTTGGAAAGGGCATGCCCCTTGGAGAAGCACATGGGTAGTGGGTACTTTGATGTCCCTGGTGCTGGTGTATTACCAGAGTTTCCTGCAAGAGCCTGAGGGTTCATTATGGTACTTTTCAGTGTCCTAATTACTGCTCCAGGTTATCCATAGTCTAGCCTGATCAGTATTTCAAAAATGAAATTGAATCACCAGATATTTGGAAGGATTGGCTTGGAGACTGTTGAAAGAGGAATACTATGGAATAGATGGGGCTTCTTGGAGATTTGTGTTTGCTGTGGACACCCTAGGAACTTATGAAGCTAAGCTGTGTTGTTTTCTGGAGGGTTAGTAAAAAAAAATATAGTGTTTTGGAGAGTTTGTTGAAATTGGAAGAAATCAGAAATGTGAACCGTAAAATTCAGAGATTCCTTAAGTTTCAAGGGCATTATTTTTGAGGCAATGGACAATGTATAAAGAGATAACTTTTATACTTAGGAAAACAAATTTCTAAAGAGGTAGGTTCTTTCCCTAGGGTTGTTGTTAAGAAGGTGGAGGAAAGGGCAAAGTGAGTAAGGAAGCCGAGGTGCAGTCTCTGTGTTGGAGCATGCTAGTTAGAGCTTCAATGAAATTGCAGGATACTAACGTTGAGGGTATGCTCCATGAGTGCATTGTCAGCCTTGGCAGATAGGCTTTTGAGCCTGGCTGGAGTACAGCACTGAGATGCTTTATGAGTGGCAGATACCTGAGGCGGAAAAGAGAAAGAGTTGAATTGAAAGCCTGTAGGGCCCTGCCTATGAAGTCATCCGTGTCCTCAGCTAACAATACCTCCATTAGCCCGACTGGGTTTCTTGAGGACACTCAAACAGGTGTTCAATAGTATGGAAAAGGCAAAGGACCATGAAGGTCAAATTTCTAAAAACTTAACATGAGGCAGAAGAAAAAGCATTTACTCTGTGTTGATGCTAGAGATGTTATTTCAGAAGGCATCAGAGAAGCTGGTGAAGGATAGTAGTGTACACCATCATGAGACTGCCAAACAAGATTTTGTTGGGGCTATGCTCCCTAAAATGCTTCAGTGGAAGTTGAATCTGTCTGATGACAAGGCTAACCTCTCAGCTTCCTGCAGTTAATAAAAGTTACATGGAGGAGAGAGAAGTTTCTTGAGTTAGGCAATAATGTATGTGTACTTTTGCATTGAGTAAAAGAAAGTATCTGAACTGGCTATGGAGGTTATACCCAATGGTTCAGAAGGAAATGCCTAGCCTTGGACTTGTCTCATTAAATGCTAAGTGCAATATGTGCGCAGTTCAAGCACATAGGAAGATTCACTGGGACAGAGGTGTTCGCGCAGTAAAATTATCCCCAGTCTTATTACAAACATACCATGGACATACTAAATATAGCAGCATGGATATTCTAATAATGCACCAAACTCCACATCTATGTAGATTGACAAGGTCCCCAGAAGGTATATTTGAATTTTGTAGCATGCAGCACCCTCTAAATCATCAGCATATAGCATTTGGCAAGACAAGTTGCATTTCCACATGATCTTCAGTGGCTTGAATGGCAAGTGTTATGGAACACCATTATTCTTGAATCCTATGGTAAGAAATTGGGGGTAGATCTCATTATGAAGCTCTTCGGTCCTCTCTAAGAAGGCCAAGAATTTCCCACTGTCCAAAGACTAACAACACAAAGCATTTGAAGAGGAAGGGGTTTAATATGTTGACTACCTAGAAGGATAAAATAGCACTTCCTGCGCTCTTTTCCTTTACCAAACCCACAACTGATCTGGGCTCAAGATCAAATCTGTTAAAGTGGTTATTGTTCACCTAAAAGTAGCTGAAAAATAAAAGAGCCTACCAAGAGTAGTTTTGCTCAGACTTGAAAGAACCAGAATGTAGAGGAAGAACTACTCTACAGGAAAAGAACACTGTGAGTGGGCCAGAATGACAATTGGGGTGGGTGGTAAATTTCCTATGTATATCTTGGTTCATCTCTTCTGACCTGGCTTTTAAGAGGAAATGGGGTCTGCTCCATCATCTCTGAGTTTGAGGAGTAAGCATTCCTTGGCTCCTCTTTCTGTTTTACCTTCAGTTTAAAACTTTCAATAAGGGGAAGAAGACCAATATCATTGATTCTATGCTTCGGATGTTGGAGCAGTATTCTAGCAACTTGGAAGATCTGATTCGGGAGCGGACTGAAGAGCTGGAAATTGAAAAACAGAAAACAGAAAAGCTTCTAACGCAGATGCTACCACCGTATGTGTGAACACCTGGGGAGTGTGAATCCTTATAACAGTGTATTCTATTAAAAAAGGGCGGGGGGAATCCATCGACTAACTGCTCCTTTTTCCTGCCTTCTGTTCTCTCTACTCCACTGGGGTTGAGTCACACCTTTAAATCAAAGTAAAATTGAAAACCAAGGTAGCAAAACATACATCCTCATTTTCAACTACCTGTGGATCAGACTGATCATTTAAGTTTTGGTGCCTTGGTTTGCCTATATGTTACATTGTGATTTTTCCAGGAGGTTGATCAAACAAAAGAAGGTAGTTCTTTGAGTTCCTAGAGGAATAGTGGTAAGGTTCTATTTCCAGGTATTTTCCTCTCTTTGTTGAAAACCTTATTTTTTTGCCTCAGTTTTCAACTTTTTAAGAATATCTAATGTTATAACATCTTTTGGGAGATCATTGAAGAAATTAATATCGTGGAAAAACAATTACCTGGGAACATTCCCCATGAAGGCCCAGACTAAGACTGTTTCATATTATATTCTAGGACCTGGTGCACTGTAAGCATTCAATGTATCTTAGTGGAATAAGTGAATGTTTTAATCCAGGCAACATTTTCTTCCTCATCATTTACTTGGGAGTGACTATTAGAACAATTGTGTTCTAGCAGATGTGCATGACACAGAGGGAGGCCTGTGTCTTAGGAATGACTGTGTTTGATTTTTAGATCAGTGGCTGAATCCCTGAAGAAGGGCTGCACAGTTGAACCTGAAGGTTTTGATTTGGTCACCTTATACTTCAGTGACATTGTGGGCTTCACCACCATCTCAGCCATGAGTGAGCCCATTGAGGTGGTTGATCTTTTGAATGACCTGTACACACTCTTTGATGCAATCATTGGCAGCCATGATGTCTACAAGGTAAGTGATTTATCAAAGGAGTGCATTCCAGAGTACACTTTTTACATAAGGCTCATCTGGGTACTGTATTCTAAAAATAAAGGTTATAATGTTATAGAATATTTTTATTTAGGAATAAAAATTTAAGTAGTACATCTTTTTCTTTGGCATCTCATTGAAAATGCAGCTAGATGGAATTCATTTAATGCCCCAATTTACAAAATAGCAACTTTCAACTCAGCAAGAGATTGATGGTCAAATTTGTTTGGAGATGTTTTCTAGAACTATGTCTAAGAAGAGGTTTGAGACAAAGGAATGATTATTTCTCGGTAGCAGAGTACTAACAGCATAGGAAATATGGTAGACATTGTAGAGGAAAAACAGAAAACAGAAAAACGGAATACAGGAGAAGTATTATATTAGCCACGGTTGGTAACTGCCCCAGATTTCTTCTTGATAAAGGCTATGCAGATTTAGGACACACTGTTAAAATTTGGTGTCCTCTTTTAGGTATTCTTTCAATATGGGAAGGGATATAGTGTGGCAGGGTGCTAGCAGATGTGAAGCTCTTTAAGATGATCACAGATAACTGAAAGCCGACATTCTGATCTGAGGACTAGGGAAGTGATTAATTGTGAGGCTGCAAGTCCCCACTTCCACTTTCCCACACTCTTCCAGCCTATTAATTTCCACTCTTTCTGCTGCAGATTGAAGAAAATAAGTAGAGAACAGATGGCTACATCCACTCATTTTGGTGTCATGCTTCCGTTACTCTTTTTTTTTTTAATGTTGTCTTGTCTCTAGGCAGAAAATGATCAAAAATCTCAGTTGTGCAAGAATATTTCCATGATGTCTGCAACATGGATACTTGTTTTATTGATGGAAAAAGATGCCCCAGGTATCCCAAAGTTTAGACAGCTATTCCATCCCTGGAACCAAGGTAGAATTGGAGAATGAGTAGCTTCATTCATTGGATTCTTCACAGTAGTCTGAAATGTTCCACACAGGAACACACAGGGAACTGTGTTTATCTCAGATTAAATTGCACCCTTTCAGATCAGGTAGAGAGCCTCAGGGGTAGGCCAAGCCACCTACATAGGGCTCAGAAATAGACATCATACTTGTCAATCAGTTGGAGCTGCCAGCTATTCAAGAAACACACATGGAAGCCATGAAGGAGAAAAAAAAATCCATGGAGACTACCTGTCTTAACTTGTTGAAGTCAAGCAGCCTGAAGAGAAAAACAAATTGCTGAAAGCTAATTCAGTTAAAACTAAGATCAAAGATGATTCAGCATGCGCAGTGACAAGAGCCTCTGGTTTAATCAATCCAACTGATTCTATTCAGCCACTTGTTGAAGGTGTTAGGGATAAAGCTATTAGCTACTTTGGTTGTAGTAGGGAGCTAGTTGTCTGTTCCCATGACAGAGAAGAGCTATATAAACCAAAAACTAGAATAGAATTTTTCAGTCCTATTTATTAAAAGCAGCACTGTGCAAAGGAATAAGAATTTGAAGCAGCAGTGAATCACTAAACCTGTTTTTTGTTTTCATTTTTCTTACCTGTAAAATTAGAACTCCCCCCCCCCATTGCACTTGATAATCTGAAATGGAAGTGAGAAGACTACTGGTGAATTATGGCCTTAGTGATTTGCTTTTAGTTTCAGCTCTCCTGCTACCACTCTCATTTCTACCAGACCCTGTTCTATACCTTCCCTTCTCTTTTAGTGTGCCTTTGCTGGTTGATGCAGTGCCGAATTCCCCCAACAGAAGTCTACACATGAAGGTTCAGCATCACTTACATCCTCTGATTTTCTAACATCATCATGCACACCCTTAGGACCTCTTGCAGGTCTGACCTACCAAAGTTAAATGGTCCACCACCACTTTATGACACTGCCAGCCACTGAGTTTTTCCTACCAGATAACATTTGCATTATAATTCTCTCTTTCTCTTTGCAAGTAAAAAGTTTATTTGTGGTTTTCTTCCTACCAATTACAGTGGATGGAGGCATGTTGAAGTCCAAAGTCCTACAGGTGCAAAGGATTATTGTTCCTGGCTATATAGAAAGTCTTGTGACAGATCTATTGCTGATTACTAAACATCTTTCTGTGAACCTAAATCACAGTGATAAATTCTAAGCCTGGTTTGAAGATACATCCACTTGGTAATGATGATGATGTTAATGCCCTGTACTTAGCTTGTTACCATCCACAAGGAAATCGTTAAGTGATTTGATATACACTGAATTATGCAGTAATTAGAAAACCCTGTGAGGTAGGTATTGCCATTAAGCCCTATTTTACAGATGAGGATACTAAAGTATAGAGAGATTAAGTGACTTATATAAGGCCACAGAGTTAGTGAATGGTAGATCTTGGATTTAAGCCAAGGCACTACGACTTCAGAGTTTCATGATGTCACATATGCTTGCATTTGTGATTGAGTTCTTTAGGAAAAATCAGACTTTAATTAGCTTGAAATGTGTGTCAGCACTGGCACATTTCATAGAAATCCTTTCAGCTTACTTTGGATTTAGCTGAAAATTTCAGCTTGTTTCTTATCTCAAAGACTGAACACGCTTCTGTGGGGAAGATGGGTAACAAGGCAGAGCAGAGGGAACAGACTCTACTTTGTTATTCCTTAGCTTTTCTTAATCATTAAGACAAAATCATCTGAAGAAATGCTTGCTGACTACTGAACTTCTTTCTCTGGAGCTGAATCATAACCACAGTCCTAAGGCTGGTTTCAAGACATATGCAGTTGGTGACAATGATGATGCTGCTGATGGTGGTGATGATGATGATGAGCATCCTAGGTACCTTCTTGGGATGTTCCTCCAGACTATCCTTGACACAATGCAGGAAATCTACTTTTCTCCACCTATGTATTTCTTTTTTTAAAAAAGATTACTTTTATTGGAAGGGCAGAGAAAAGGCAAGACAGAGATATTGGTTCACTCCCCAAAGGGCCTCAGTGGTGAATTCTGAGCCTTTCTGAAGCTAGGAACTTCTTTCAGGTCTCCTACCTGAGTGCAGGGGTCCAAGAACTTGGGCCAACTTCCATTGCCTTTGTAGGCCATAGCAGAGAGCTGGACTGGAAGTGGAGCAGCTTGCAGGTGCTGATATGGGATGTCTCCTCCACAGGCTGAGGCTTAACCTGCCACACCACCAGGTTGCCCTCAAATATCTTGAAGCCTCATACTTCTCTAGAGTCACTTGGTGCTTGTGAAGTTGCAACACTTACTTCAGACTCTAGTTGGGGCCTAAAACTCCCAAAATGGTTTGAATGTGCAGCTGAGAATGTGGACCATCAACAGTCTCCATGCCTTCCTCACTTTACAAGATCACCTGGCCTCTGTCATACTCCTGAAGAAAAAATACACAAAAAAGTTACTTGCTTGCTAATTTTGTTTCCTCTGATCCCCAGGTGGAGACCATTGGAGATGCCTATATGGTGGCTTCAGGCCTTCCAAAGAGGAATGGTAGTAGGCATGCGGCTGAGATTGCCAACATGTCCCTTGATATCCTGAGCTCTGTGGGCACTTTCAAAATGCGGCACATGCCAGAGGTGCCAGTCCGAATTCGAATGGGCCTTCACTCAGGTAACAACACCAGTTGAAGTGAAAACATTCCTATGTACCTTAGGGAAGATCAAACAAGGAAGCTTGTCCCAATTCTTAGTAGCTGGATTAATCAGGTGTCCAAAGTTACCTAGTGCTTTTATGCCTACCTAATTTTACTCTCTTGCCAGCACCTGCACTACCATGGTGAGCACAACAGTCCTTGTCCTAAGTACCAAATCCTTCTGTTTACAACCAGCATTCCCATGTTCACTGATGCCACAAGATCAATAAGTGCATGTTACTCATTTAATCGATAAAACTTCAATCCCTGCAATATTTCCCTCCTATTCTTGTTCCGCTTTGCTTGAATAACTTCAAGATATGCCCCATTCATTGCCAACTCCCCATCTAGCTTCCTGCTTTCCCAGCTTTCTAATAGATAGACCTCTAAGTTGAAGTCACAGGTGTTTCATCCACTTGTCCCTTTCGTTCCCCTCTCTGTTCCCTGCCTCTTTCTCTTTGGTGGGCTCTTCTAGGCTCCTCTCCCCCACTTTTTTTCTGTCTTTTTGATATGCAATTTCTTAAAGGAAGGAATGACACTCTCGGGGTCATTGCTTCCTTATGCACTCCCTTCTTAACTCCTTTGCAATCTGAGTTCAGTCCTCCCTACTTTCCCAAGTCCTCATCTGCCCTTACTATGAGACATATTTGACATTCACGATATTTCTCCCTAAAACTTTCCCTCCTTTGGCTCATAACATACTGTTTACTCTCTGAATGCCATTTCTTTACTTCATTTACTGGTTCTCGTAACTCTTCTATTTCTCTAACATTTCCTGCAAATCTCTTAGCGTGGTGATCTCTTGTGGTCTGCATATCTTCAACTTAAATTTATTTATCAATCCACTTGAGTCTGGGTCTCACTTTCTATCACTAACAAATCCTTTTGTTTTTTTTTGTCTGTGTCTTAAATAATATTATCAAGAGTTATGTCCTGATCCACCTTTCTTTCTCTACCCCCCAAGCTCTCCTCAGTGATATCACTCTTGTCCATGGTTTAAATAGATATATATGCTAATCAATTCCCTCTACACAGGTTCAGCAGTCTTATCCTTTAAGCCTTGGCAATATATATCTACCTTCCTGCTGACATTTCCTCTGGAATATTCCCATATAGACACTGGGCTCAACACAACTAAAGCAGAATGTTTTCTTCCCATAATTCTTTATTGATACTGATACTGTATTTCGGTTGGTGTATCATCATTGACTCAGCTATTTCAGCAAAGTCATTCTCTGATTTCACCTTCACACTGATCTTTAACACTCAACCAATTAGTAATTCTTGGGAATTTTATGTTTTAAGTATTTCTTGAGTGTGTCTTGTTTAACCCATGCTCATTAAGGTCACCAGACTCTTGCCTGAATCACTTTGGTAGAATCCTTTTACTTCGGTTCTTACATCTTTCCATCCATACTTCTTACAGTCATTAGCATAATCTGTGTTTTCCTCCCTTATCCTTTAGACTTTAAAGGTGATGTCAACAGAAATCATAACCTGTTCATGTTTGTACCTTAAGTCCTTAGCACATAGCACACACGTGTTTAATATTTTTCTTTTAAAGACAGGTACCTGTATCATTTTTGTTCCAGTTTCACACCTTCAATTTCCTGTGGCACTACTCTGCTTGGATGATTCACTGTTTATTTTAATTTACTATATTTAAATCTTTAAGTAACCATTCCTCATAAACCAACAAGAACTCAAAAGCTGTTGTCAATTTTCTTATGATCAGCAATCAGACAGCCAAGAAGAGCGTTAGTATCTCTCTTTTATCATCTCTTTCTGGCCACCCACTTCTTATCACCTCCTTCCTAGTGCCCTTTGCTTGAATTCCTATAACAATTACGCAGTAGATTTTTTGGTTTTACTTTAAGTTCTTCCAATGCATTCTGCACACTGATCTGAGGGATTGAGAGGGTGGGTGGGTTGGTGGGAGGAGAAGCTGTTTTTCAAGATGTAATTTCCCACTCAAAATTCTTTAGTGGTTCAATATTTTCCATCGTGTAGTGTCCACTTAACCCAATCTTGTTCCCAGTTTCTACATAGCTACTAACCTTGGTAGACTGCTTTTTCTAGGAGTTTCCTAAGATTCCATTCTAAGTCCTAACTACAGACCTTTGCTTTATGTCTCATTTCACCTATTGAAATTTTACCCTACCAATAAAGACCCAAATAAAATCTAACCTTCTTCATTATTGTCTTCTTGACTGGGTCAAGTCCTAATAAGCACTTTTCTCTATTTTCTGAATAGTTGTCTAGATTGCTTCTCTTGTCTCAACTATGCATTTTTAAGTTGGTGGTACTTAATTGCCTCCCATCAGGTAGTATTTTTAATCAGATATATAAAATTGAGGAGAACTGAAACTATGTATTACACTTGTTTTGTCCCCCTTGGAACTCAGCTCAGTGTTCATTGAATGCTTCTTACTGAAACAGAGGTGAATAAAAATGAGAAATATAAGTTTTGCAGCTTTAATGTATCTTTATGGAATAATATATTTATGTGTTTTAATGCAGGGAACAACAACAACAAAAATATAATGCTGAAACATTTTAAATATAGAAACGATAGAGACCAAAAGTTAAAGGTTAAAAGTTTTCTAGATACGCTTGAACAGTGTGGCTGCTGGCATTGTTTTCAATTTCATTGAAATTCAATTTCATGCTAAATTGCAAGAAATAAAACCATTCTAAAATGAAATAAAATGCCATTTTAAGTATCTTTATGTAGTTCTCTTCCATGTCCCAAATACAGATGATCTAAAGTTAAGTCTACCTGTTTTAGATTTTTCAACCACATTAACAATATGTCTCTTAATAGCTACAGTTTGGAAGACAGACTTATGAGATCTCTGCTTCCAACCCTGAGGCACAAGAAAGAGTCACATTTTTTTCCCTTGCAACAAACAAGTCTGAATCCAGAGTCCATGCCTAGATATTTCTGTTTTGTGCTTGAGGCTTATTTATCCCTATTGGCAAATATAAGCAGCTCGGATGTAACTTTTACTTGGAACAAAAGTATAAATTGTAAGAGGAACCTTGTCTACATCATTATAAACTTGCTTTCTAGTTGGGTTAAGAGTTCATTACTTATTACAAATCATTCAGATTCCCAGAGTCACTGGATGATAACTTGTATTCTTTGGCAATGCTACATTTCCCCTCCCTTTGAAGTGCTCTTCTGTTAGCACTGAGTGCATATCTGTTAACTGTAATTCAAATCCCTTGCTACTCTGTAGGGCCAGTTGTTGCTGGAGTGGTGGGCCTTACCATGCCCAGATACTGTTTGTTTGGAGACACTGTGAACACAGCTTCTCGGATGGAATCAACAGGGCTACGTGAGTACCTAGAGAGGAATCCACAGACGGTGCTGTCCTATTCCTGGGAAAGTGGCTCTTCCTCAAGAGTGGGGAAGGGAGCGGATTATTCAGTGTTCTGCTGGTTTAAAGAAAGACAGAATAGAATTTATCTCAATTCTTGTGGCTTTTAATTGCAAACCAGTAGGGGGTGATGTTGGACCGAACATGTAACGTTCGTGTTATAGAAATGAAGTTGTATCTAAGTGACAGTGAAGCAGTCAGCCAATTTGATCAAAACAACTTAAAAAACAATCTTTTGGGTAAAGGAAAAAATTGACCAGCCTGGTGGGTGCTGGGGAGTCATGTTGAGAATGGAACTAGGTAAGAGATTGACATGTTCAGTTTTCCAACTAGTTTGTGAAGATATACTCATGGCAAATTGCCTCTCAACTGACTGCTGCTTGCCATCTCTTTGAACTGGTTATACTCCAAGTGTTCTAGTTTTATCAAATACCCTCGCTCTTCCAATCTAAGGATCTTAGAATTTTGAGATAATTAATTCCAATTTGCCTGTGTATAAAGCATTTTGTTTCTGTCAAAACAGGAATAGCATCGAAGACTCAATTTCTTTCCTCCCGTTTGAGAAGGAAACCATAAAAACATTATGCTTATTTATCATCACTACTGAAGCAATGTAAAAAGAGAAAAACAACTTGCCTTTTACCTACAATAGGGTTGGACAAAAACACTTCTTGTGCTGGAATAGAAAAAAACAGATTCTATGTATCATTTTCATGAATTTTTTTTTAAAGTAGAAACTCTGTATGCTTTAGTCCCAGTTCTGGTAGCTACTAAGTCATAGAAGTTCTTCCCAAACTGCAGCAAATATACTGAAAGTAGTCCCCGATGATATGGTGGCCTATATCTCAGTGGGTGGTGCCCTGTCTGACCCCGTTCCCCATCACTCATATGCAGAAACAGGCTTACACAATGGGTCCAGTCTTAGTCAATCTAGTTTGTGCAGCCATGATTAAGGAGGCAGCACGGAACTTAGAAGCTGTTGTCAGAATAAATTTTCTGACATCTGGGAAAGTCTTCAAACTCCACAGATACGGCAGAGGCTATGGAAGTCGTCATCTAGGAACTGCTGTGTGAATATGACTTTGCTCTTGAAGTGTAACCCAAGATGAAGTGAAATTGATCATGGAACCGCAATGCAGATTTGGCACAGTACTCTAGACTGATGGAAGCTTGCAGAAAGCTAGAGTCATGTTCTTGTCTGTGTCAGGGAAAACACTGCATACTTCATGTTGGAGATGCAGAGTTGGAAACAGAAATTGAATTTTGAGATTTAGGTGGCACCTTGTCCCGCTGATGAAGTAGAAGGAAGAAAATGGGGCGAGACACACACAGCAGTTGTTTCTTAAGCACTGACTGTGCAAGAAAGGCATTGTGAGGGATGCTAAGAAAGCATATACACTGGCTTTCTCTGTAAAGGAACTGGTTAGTGTGCTTTTCTACAAGTAATTATTGTGAATCAAATAAGACATTAAGCTCTAAAATTAATTAAAGATCTGTAAAGAGGAAGCATCTAATCTTTTGTTAGATTTGAGACAATGACAAGTCTATTAAAAAAAATCAATTTCACCAATATATCCTGTGCACCTTGTAACTCAGCTGAGATTCTGGAATGGAAGCTACTGGAAGCCCCTCCTTACCACAGTGCTGGATGCTGGTTGGAATCAACTATCTCTCCTTTGAACTGTGTATTTCCAATCAGCAGTGATACTTTACTGAAGGGTTCCCTGAAGACCAGGTGCTAAAGGCACGGTAACACAGTGCTAGCTAGGGATACCCTGGCCATGCATGTGATACTTAGGAGCAGGCAAACCCTTTTTGAGCATTCATCTTTCAAGGAAAGGAGAGTCATTGCGAGTAAACATTGCGAGCATTTTTTGCAGGTCTTTTCAGCCCTGTCTTTATACTCACACTGTAGTCAGCTTCTAAAAGAATGCCTTTTCTTCAGTGGGTGTGAGAATACAACTTGGCCCTTTATTTAAGATTCAGCTTCAACAAGGTCTCAGTTTTTAAAAAAGATATGTTTTTAAATTTTTATTGGAAAGGTGGATATACAGAGAGGAGGAGAGAAAGAGAGGAAGAGAGACAGAGAGGAAGATCTTCTGTCAGATGGTTCATTCCCAAAGTGACCACAATGGCTGGAGCTGAGCCAATCTGAAGCCAGGAGCTCTTTCAGGTCTCCCAGTTGGGTGCAGGGTCCCAAAGCTTTGGGCCGTCCCCGACTGCTTTCCCAGGCCACAAGCAGGGAGCTGGATGGGAAGCAGGGCCATCAGAATTAGAACCGACACCCATGTGGGTTCCCGACATGTGCAAAGTGAGGACTTTAACCACTATGCTATCGCGCCGGGCCTTAACAAGGTCTCATTTTTAGGCTGGCAGTTTGTTGGAAAATCAAGGATCACCCCAGTAAACGAGTAATTATTACTTTTTAAATAATTGTATTTAGATGCTAAACTAGTTTTTAAAGTGGGAATTCCTCACGTAAAGATCTTAAGTCTGATTGGGGTCATTGGTTGGAAAAATTGTACGTTCATGTATGTCTACAGTAAAACGCCCATGCAAAGGACAACCACAACTGTTCAGTCTCCTTAAAATGTTAGTTGGTGGGGATTTCAGGGGTATTTCACACAGATTCTTTATTTTTAGTACATCAATATTGAGAGATTCTTGTTAAGATGCATATGGAAAAGACAGTCTCTGTGTCTTAAGTAGAATGATGCAAAACTCGGGAGTTTGGCCCTAGTAGCACCTGATGTGAGAAGGTGCTCCAGCCAAACTTCTCATGGTGGGGGGGGGGGTCATGTTTCAGAGGAGAGCACAGCAGTGCTTGCTGGCTACTCATCTCATTCAAGTTAAATTATCTTTTTTTATTGCATGACCTTTCATGTGAGACAGTGTCTAGGAGACTGATGGGTGCTACAGCTAGCCCCTCTCCCCCTCCTGTGAAATCACAACTAAACTCTCAGCATTGTCTCTCTCTCTCTCTCTCTCTTTCTCAGTTTTTTCTTAGGATTTAGTTCATTTAAAAGTGATGGCTTCATTTCTAACTGGTTTCACCATGGACACTAGAATCAAAGTCATGTTTTCGCTTCTTTTCCAGCTTATCGCATTCATGTCAGTCTCAGCACTGTTACTATTCTGCAGACTCTGAGTGAGGGCTATGAAGTGGAGCTTCGAGGAAGAACAGAGCTCAAGGTATAATGTTCTTTTGTCTTTTGAACCAAACCACTTAGACACATCTGTTTCTGGAGAGGTCACGGTCTACTGACAGAGTTTACCTGGGCGTCTAGAGACCCGGAGCTATAATTTATGCAGAATCTCCAACCTTGCTTGGGATTCTTAAAAGATTGTTCCACTTGGTCTCAATTGTTTTCTCTTCAAAACATGTGTTCCGAGGAAGCAGGGAGAAAGTGGGTGAGAACTCTTCCGCATTTTTTCAGACTGTGAGTGGCGTTTTTTCTTATTAAAGAACTGTGTCACATTTGACTTTCCAACAGATACCATTATTTACATTTCCCAACTTCCATTCACTTACATTTTGGCAGTGCTGGAGATTGGTCAATAAGCCACAGTGTTGGGGAGTTTGGATTTTTTATCTGCCTTCTCAGTACCCACTCTTTCTTTCTGACGATTAATTGAGACCATTGGCCCATTATTTACAGGTATGCTTAATGTCTTTCTCCAACAACCAGGAGCAATAAGATCAGTTTCATGAGAGTCAGGCATTCTGTATCACATTTCTTGCATATTAGGTCTATATCACTTAAGCTGGTGTTCAGAATTACAATGGTTTTCATTTTTGCCATGTCCACTAAATTCTCCTCATCTTCCTCTGGGTGATTGATCCCAAGACCATGGACTGAACCTGTTGTAGGAGCCTCCAGGCAGGTTGATAAATATATATGTTTGTTTCAGATAAGAAGACATGATTTGCTCAGAGTTACATAGCAAGCCAATAAACAGAATTGGGTCGAAATTTAGGGAGCCTGAGTTCCTGCTTAGTACTCTTTTCATGATACCATGCTGTGGGAAGATGATTTCTCAGGGTTATTCCTGAGCAAAGCTAAAGCATTAAGTGATGCTTAGTTAAGAATTAGTCTGTGTTGGGTCCAGCACAATAGCATAGTGGTTAAAGTCCTCGCCTTGCACGTGCCAAGATCTCATGTGGGCGTCGGTTCTAATCCCAGTGGTCCAGCTTCCCATCCAGCTCCCTACTTGTGGCACGGGAAAGCAGTCAAGGAGAGCCCAAAGCCTTGGGACCCTGCACCCGACTGGGAGACCTGGAAGAAGTTCCTGGCTCCTGGCTTCGGATTGGCTCAGCTCCAGCCGTTGTGGCCACTTGGGGAATGAACCATCTGACAGAAGATCTTCCTCTCTGTCTCTCCTCCTCTCTTATATATCTACCTTTCCAATAAAAATAAATAAATAATTTTTTTAAAAAAAGAATTAGACTGTGTTACGGGCCTACATTCTCTAAATGGTGACAATTTACACATAACTAGATTTCAGAAGTTAAATATTGGAAAACCTGATTCTAGTTGGTCACTTTCTTTTCTGGTCAGTTGTAATTTGTTCTGTATAATAGATCCTTAATATCTTCCCACAGGTGGAATGAGTCATTCATAAGGAATAGAGGCTCTTTTCCCACCTCTGTACAGGACTCAAGCAGTGAGATGGTAGGGGTAGGGATATTGCTTGGACAACTAACAATATACCCCAGGACTTTTGTGTTGCTTCCACACATTCTGTGGTTTCTCAGAAGAGGAGTACATGGCAGCTCGGTTTCCTGAACTACTTTTCTCTGTATTTCTTGGCACAGGAAATTCATTTAAAGGCTAAAGAACCAAAGAGATGCCACTCCAAAATTGGAAAATAAAACATGTGCCATCAACCCTCCATGATTTTTATTGCCCAAGAAAATCAATTCAGGAGCATTTGCATCTTAGGGTGTTTCATGTACAAAACAAGACATACTTCAGAAGATATCTTTGCAACTTCACAATTCCAGAACCTCAGCACAGTAAATAAGAGGAAATGATGCAGAAAATTGGTGAAAGATCATTTCCCTAATGCCACGCTGGGCCTTGTTTGTTGGGGGTAATAGAGGCTTTGTGGAGAAAAGAGATTGACAAAAAGACACCAAGGGAGAAAAAGAGAGAAAAGAAAGGGACAATGTGACAAATGGAGAGGGTACAAAGCAAAATCACATGAAAGGAAGGGAGAGAAGTGGAGATCAGCTGTCTCTATACCTTCTACTTTCTTGCCAGAGGCAGATATTGTGCAATACACAGTAGGGGACTTGGGGGACACGAAGCTCCTAATCAGTTGGGGAAATCCAATATATCCACAGGAAACCATATCAGCAGCGCACATTATGAAAATTGTGATTCAGCATTGCCATGCTTCATTTACTCTTTTTTTAAAAAAGATTTATTTTTATTGTTTTTTCATTGGAAAGGCGGATATACAGAGAGGAGAGACAGAGAGAAAGATCTTCCATCCGATGATTCACTCCCCAAGTGAGCGCAACGGTCGATGCTATGCCGATCCGAAGCCAGGAGCCTCTTCCGGGTCTCCCATGCGGGTGCAGGGTCCCAAGGCTTTGGGCCGTCCTCGACTGCTTTCCCAGGCCACAGGCAGGGAGCTGGAAGGGAAGCGGGGCTGCCGGGATTAGAACCAGCGCCCATATGGGATCCCGGGCGTGCAAGGCGAGGACTTAACCACTTGCGCCACCGCGCTGGGCCCTTCATTTACTCTTGTGATGCTGGAAGCAACAGTTGCTCCAAGACATGGAGCAAACAGACCACAATTGATGACTAGCAGGCCAGCAATGTGTGAGCTCAAGGTTGATGGCTAGAGACACCCTTTCCTTCAGCTGATTGATGCTTGATAGTCCTCCCTTAAATATTCATTTCTTAAGTTTTGCACTCAATTACCTCTCATTATCCAAACCTTAGCCATTGCAGGTGACTGCCCACTGCAGCCATCTTTTGTACTACTCAGGCAAGAATTACCAATGTCTTACCAATTTTGCTTTGTTAATATCTGCCTCCTGATGGGCTAATGATATGCTGTTTTGTTATCTCTCACATGAATCTTGTTTCAATATTTTTCTGATAAGTTTAGAGCCCCTTTGCTGGTATTTTATAGTTGCCTACACTTATCAATTATACTAACTGGAGACCTTTATCTAAATCTTAATTTTATTAAATGTTTATTCTTACACAGTTTTGTTTTCTTCACCAGACATGGGCATTTTCTGGCCATATTTCTGAATTCTAGGGAGGGCCTAAGAGTATTTGTTTTCAGATCTCTAAGCATTAACATTGTGTTACTTGCGATTTCCATTCTTCCCTCATTTTCTTTCACCCATGCCTGTACCACTAATGCACATATGTGCATATACACACACACATACGCACACACACACACACACACACTAGCAATAGAGGTGACAGATTCATGAAGGTCAGAAGGTTTAATCTGTAATTCTCAACCTACCAATGATGTCCTGCATGACATTGGACATGTAACTATCCTCTCTCCGCTTCCACTTGTCCACCCAGAGGACTCTTCTGATCTATGGTTATCTGGAAACTCATTAATTTCATAATCTTTAAAAGCCCTAATAGTTGTATTTTGGCATCCAGACCTGTCCCTGGATTTCAGTGTATTGAGAGGCTTACTGGTATGGAGGGAAAATCATTTAAAATGTTGAGTCTAGTATACTTGTGTTCAAGTGATAGCTATATCTGCTTATTGATAAGTAATTCAATCTCCATGAACATTGGCGTCCCCATTTGTAGAACGGGATTAATAACACAGCTAGCTTCCAAGAGTTTTGTGAGGCCTAAATAAGTTAGGATTTCCTAAAGTGTTTTAAAAGTACCATGATAAAATATGTACTCTGGGACTTCCTAGGAATTACTATTAAGTCAATAAGTTTGCCTGAAGCTTTAGCTGTTGCCAACCTTGTCTCCCTTCTGTACCTGACTGAAGTAGAATTGTGGAAGTGGAGTGGGTAAACAGAATGCTAAGGTTTTGATAGGTTCCAAAACTTCAAAACCTCTGAGATTCCCTGCATACTCTTGGGTTTGGAAGCTTGCCTGAGCCCTTAACACACTCATGCTCTCCTACAACCATTAGTTTTGGCATCCCAGTGTATCTCAGGAGTCATCCAGATCTCTGGACAATCTTCACACCTACAAAGTTGCTTTGAATGTGGCAAGCTGTCCTGATGCCTTAGAGATCTTAGAGATCTTCAAATAAACACTCTGGCTGGGCCTGGAAGCATGAAGCCTCTTCAAAATGTTCTTTAAAATGGAATTAAAAGTTTATTATGGTATAAAACGTTTTGTATTCATGCACATTCTTCATTTTCATGAGCTTTTCAAAAACATTTGTTTTCCTTGAAAGTCAGAGTTACAGAGATAGAGAAAGTAGGAGAGACAGAGAGAAAGCTCTTCTATCTGCTGATTCACTCCCCAAATAGCCACAATGGCTGGAGCTGAGCTGAGCTGATCTGAAGGCAGGAGCCAGGAGCTTTCTCAGGGTTTCCCACACGGGCCCAGGGGATAAGAACTTGACATGTCTTGCACTGATTTCCCAGCCTATAAGCAGGGAACTGGATCAGAAGTGGAGTAGCTGGGACTTGAACCAGTGCCCATATAGAATGCTGGCTCTGCATTGCAGAAGATTAGTTTGCTAAGCCATCATGCCATCCACAAACATTTGAATGTCTTCTATAGGAATGGATTTCAAAATCTTCTTTCTCCAAATAGATGTATTTTTTGTTTAAAATTTTTTTTATTATTTTTTGTAAAGATTTATTTTTATTATTTTTTATTGGAAAGGCGGATATACAGAGAGGAGAGACAGAGAGGAAGATCTTCCATCTGATGATTCACTCCCCAAGTGAGCACATCGGCCGATGCTATGCCGATCCGAAGCCAGGAGCCTCTTCCGGGTCTCCCACACGGGTGCAGGTTCCCAAAGCTTTGGGCCGTCCTCGACTGCTTTCCCGGGCCACAGGCAGGGAGCTGGAAGGGAAGTGGAGCGGCCGGGATTAGAACCAGCGTCCATATGGGATCCCGGATTAGAACCAGCGTCCATATGGGATCCCGGGCGTGCAAGGCGAGGACCTTTAACCACTTGCGCCACCGCGCTGGGCCCCTCAAATATATGTATTTTTTGGTTTTGTTTTTTACCAACTTTTTGAAGTACTCACATGTTCTACCAAGATGATGTTTTGAGTATTCTAAGTACTCAGGTGTTCAGAGTTCTGATTAATGAATCTGTCTGATTATTTTCTGTGCTACCTCTGTACAAGCCACATTACCTGTTACTATGAGCACAGCAATGAGCTTGGAGAATGAGGAGTTGGGCTGAACATGTTTAGAATCCAAAACATGGACTTATACATGTTTTTACTTAAATATACTATGAGTTCTTGAAAGATAGACCCATCTCTGTATTCCCAGCTCTGGGACAAGAAGTGTAAAATAAATGCAAGAATGCCTGATGTATATTTCAGTATATTTTCAGTTTGTTCACCCTCAAGCAGCTGTTTAGAGTGAATTTCCTACTAGTTAACAAAGATGGGCTATGGTGGTGTTTTCTTTTTACTCATCTCATGAGATGAGAGATTGCTCACAGCTTTCAATCACATCTTTGCAACATTCTTTGAGATTCTCCAATTAAATGTGCTAATTATTGTTGTGGTTCTTATCATTAGTATTGAGGGATGAATGAATTTGATATAAAATTTAAAAAAAAAAAAGCAGTGGACTTGATATCTAAAGTGGGAAACCTGACTGGAGCCTCTAAGTTAAACAATTTAAACCGGTTCCAAATGAGAGCTGCTGCGAGTGAGACCATCTTTCAGATTAATGAATTGTAAACACATCCTGTTACTTTTCTCAACCTGAGTAAACACATTTTTTTCCCTTAGAGATTGGAAGAAATGAGAATAGAGTCCAAAGAGAATTGAAAGGACAGAAAACACATGGGGGGTTTACTAGGAAGAAGGAGGCAGAACAAAGGTACAAAGTTGGGCTCCTCTGAAGTCATCACTCAGGCTCTGAGGTGACCAGCTTGAGTTTACACTCCCTTTATCTTCTTAGACACATGGGTCTTTGACAAGCAAATACCTAGGCTGTAGGTAGGGGCCCGCTTTAGAGTCTCACTCTACTGCTTAGAATCTCTTAGTGGGAAGCAAAGTACCCAGCATAGAGACAGCATTCAAAGCATCTAGAAATGCTTCTGGCTTCCGAAGATACCCTTTCTAAAAAGGTACATATGAAAGTGTAGAGCCTGAAGTGTTACAATGGCCACGATTTCTTTGAAAAAATTTTTGAAAGTGTTTGCAGTCTTGCTATCCAAATGGAATATAGCTTCAGGCTTCGGCTGGGCCTGACTCCGGTTGTTGTGGCTATTTGCAGAGTGAATTAATGGATGGTAGATTTCTTTCTCTCAGTCTTTCCCTCTTGTAAGTCTGCATGCTAAATCAATCTTTAAAAGCATTACAAGATATTCAGATAGATGATGTGGCAGAATACTAATAAGTATTCAGTCTAGCTGATGGATGGATATGGTATTCATTCATTGTGCCAAAGCAATGTTTGGGTGCTTGAAAATTAGAATAAAATATAGAGTGGAAAATATTAATAAGGAAAACAAGATTTGAAGAAAAATTGTTAAGTCTTTTAAAAAAATTTTTACTGGAAAGTCAGATATACAAGAGAAGAGAAGAGACAGAGGGGAAGATCTTCCATCCATGGATTCACTTCCCACACAGCCACAATGGCCGGAGCTGCGCTGAACTGAAGCCAGGAGCCAGGAATTTCTTCCAGGTCTCCGACACGGGTGCAGGGTCCCAAGGCTTTGGGCTATCCTCAACTGATTTCCCAGGCCACAAGTAGGGAGCTGGATGGGAAATGGTACTGCCAGGATTAGATTCGGGGCCCATATGGGATCCTGGCGCATTCCAGGGCAGGACTTTAGTCACTAGGTTCCTGCATTGGGCGCAAAATTGCTAAGTCTTCTAGCTTGGCTGCCATGTCCATTCTTTTTTTTTTTTTTTGGTGATGGTGGTGGGTGGGCAGTTGGACATTATTGGATTGTGTTGAGTGAAGGAGTAAGAATCTCCATGTATGTATTCTGTATAGAACACACAAATGGCTTGCCTAGTGCCAAGAGTTCAGGGTAAAGATGACAAACAAGTCCTCAATTGAGAATCCAGATGTTTGGTTGGTATTTAGCTAAACAACCACACATTCTCAAAGAGGGAGCTGGATGGTGGTGAGTAGATAAAGCATGTGGATGACAGCTTGATATGGTGCTTCCTTTTCATCTGGTTGCTCTCACAACCTCTGGAGTTTTCCTGAGGCTCAGATACATACGCAAAGGAAACCTATTTGAAGGAAGGCCTGAGGAGGCAGGGAGAAGGAGGAATTGAAGCAATTTGTGAACTGAAGTGAATGTTTATATTCTATTACATTCAAGAAAATTTATTATAGCATGACTAAGATTTTCCAAATTTTCTATAATAGGGCAAAGGCATAGAGGAGACATTTTGGCTGGTTGGAAAAAAAGGCTTCACTAAGCCCCTTCCTGAGCCCCCACCAGTAGGCAGAGATGGGTAAGTGAAATTCAGAGTTAATCCAAGTCTCCCTATGCCTTGCTCTGTTACAATCTCTTCACTACCTGTTTTGGTGCTTCCCTTGTCCTGCAGGCAAGTGGGCCATGGCTTGCAACCAGCAGAGATCGCAGCCTTCCAAAGAAGAAAGGCAGAAAAGCAGTTGGTGAGAAACAAGCCGTAAGGTAATAGCCAGCAGGAAAACAGAGCATCGAGGCTTGCCAGATTTTCAAAGCTGGGGCTCCCTTTGGCATGTGTGCCAGTCACAGCCTACACTGTGTTGGCACAGTGTGAAGGACCTGGTGAATTTCCAAGTTTCATTGAGTTGGGCAAAAACCTTGTTGCGAGGCCTGTTGCAGAGACTGGTCTGCACATGGGGGAGATTGGACTGTGAGAGAGACCCTTGGCTCCTGCAGTGATAATGCGTTTGAATGCTAACAAATCTGGCCTTGCTCTCCAGTTATCAGGCAGGTGCACCTGTCTCATTGTGAAGCACCTGGGCCACATGGTAAAGCACCTCAAGTCTTTAGAGACTCACACGTAGCCAGGCAATGCAGTGATATTGTGGCTATCTCCTTCTGGGATCTGTTGGCTGGGACAATTATGGAGGGGGTGATTCTGTCATTTCCTCTACAAGCACTACCTGATCTTTTTTAAATTTGGCAGCCAACCAAAAAGAAGGCCAACTACTGCTTGACTTCCTGGCTAGGATGCGTGACAGTTTTCTCTGTTCCTTCTCCCACACAAGGACAGTGTGATTCTGAACGAGCAACAACAACCTATGATCAAGAATGCTCCCCATGTACTGCTCTCCGAGGAATCTATTGCTTTCTTGGACGCTTCTGTTTCCTCCTTATCTTGCTTTCTTCTTCTGTCTTCCATAGGAATCTTGCAAAATTTCTGTCTCTCTGTACTAACTTTGGCAACTCTCTGGGACTGTTTATTTTCTAAGAAAACCTTAACACTTCTTCATTTCTGGGATAATCACAGGTAACCTGCACATATAGGCTTCGGATGTACTGAAGATGCATTTTCTTTGCAGTCTTTTGTACCACCCTGACTCTTTGTCACTCGGTCTGGATTTGCTCTTTCCTATTGACTGATACAAGGATATATGCAGCTGGGACATACAGTCATCCATTACCGGAAGCATTCTCTTCTTTGGATAGGAAGTACAGGGGTATTCATGGACATGGGGACATATACAAGGTTTATCTTTCTCTGCCTCTCTCCATAGGAAAGGGTGTGGAAGCTCTTGAAGTTTTTCTCTTTGACAGGGAGGTAGGGACATTGGAAGCATTCTACAGAAACCCATCAATTTCTAAGAATATACTGGAGTTTGCAGCAGAAAACATTACTGCTGGCTCACCATCATTGCTTGTGGGTTTGTTAGTGATTTCTTAATATGCGTATGGTTGTCACTTAGGCTACTCACAAACACATTCATCAGAACCACTTTGTTAGATAGCTTCTGCAGGCTGTGGCTAATCCTGGCCTTATGAACACGTGTGCTTTAGTCAGCTTGTTTATTGACCATAGTAACATTGGTGACTTTTGCAAAGCACAAAAGTCTCTGAGAAAAGGACCTTGGACAAGCTTCAAAAGAATAACCTAAATCCAGAAGTTCCCAGAAAACTCATTCATCTCTCAATAAATGCCTTATGTTAATTTCATGCAGGAATATCACCTATTCTAGAATGATTCCAATTTTCTTTGAATTTACAGAGTAACACTTACTGAGACAGGCTCAAATTGAAGAAAACTGGCAACACATTTTGAGTACATCTGATCTTTTTCCACTATCATAGGAACTATCAGAGGAAAACTGGAAATCCGTATGGGGTCCTGTGGGTTTAGAGATAAAGAAAAGATGCTATGAGAGGAGGCATAGGCTTGGTGAACCAATCATAGGAGGCACCTCCCAGGCAGGGCTTTGCAGTGGCTTCTCTACCGTGTTCCCAATAGCCACCGTCTCTGAAACTCAGTTCTACTCTATCTGGTGATTTTCCTCTAACCTCATTCCAACTGGGGTCAGGGTGGGACTGAGAAGGTATTTTCCCTGAACCATGGGTGTGCTTTTTGGAGAATGAGGAGTTAGCTGTTCAGGAAGATTTGGAGGCTTCATCTTGATCGGGATAAGGAGAAAAGAGGAAGTCATTCCATGATAACCTGAGAGTCACAGCAGTGGGCTTGAGAGAGCACAAGAACAAGGGGGATCTGATAGAGGGGAGGAAGGGGAAGACAGGCATGAAGGTAGAATAGTCAGTGAAGATCCACCTCTTTTAACTCTTTTGAGTTGTTCTTCGATTCAAAGACTGGGGCTTATAGTATACTTGTCTTTCTCTTCTCAGGACTCAGGTTTCCCTGCAAAGTAGTGACATAAGTCTTCTCTATGTGAGTTCAATCAGCCTTTTTGGACTACTTTGAGAGCTGACCAACATATATAGAGCACAATTTCTGAGGAGGAAGGTGATCCAAGTTCCAAAGCATCAACTTATAAATGTTTAGGCCATATCATCTTAGCCTCCATTTAGATTAAATTTATAAATGCCCTTGTAAATAATACCACACAATTATGTAAACCTGAGAAATAATACTTCTTTCTTCAATGATGCAGGGAAGTTCAGCCATTTGTAACCGGCTCCTGGGGTAGAGGAGTGGTGAAGAGCTTTGAATTCTTGCATATTGAAGCCTTATAGAAGGCCCAGATATAAAAGGTGTGCTGACGGATTTCTCTTTCTCCCACACAGGAGCCAAGAGCTCCAGGACTTGAATCTTCTTTTGGCAAGTTGATGAAAAAATTCACTGCAGTTCGACTAACTGCTGTGCATGGGCAGGAAATGAGTGTATGACTATATCTCTGAAGATGACCAACCTCCAGGGTTAATCAAGCCTATTTTCAGCACAAAGGAACTTCTGGGGAGTAACTTTGATTAACATTGTTCATTACCTAGACTTCACCAAAAAGATCACTTGAAACTAAACTACCACGGAAACGAACCCCGAGGAAAGGTAGAGCACCAACTCCAAGTTTAGTCATTCTGAAATAGCAGGATCAACTTGGACCGTGATAAGAAGATCTATATTTTCACAGAAAAGTAGGAGTCCTTTTGTTTGCATTTTCATTTTGTTTGAATCTTTAGAAAGTGTTTAATGAGCATAATTTATAACTTAGATACTATGAGACCAGTGCCAGGGGGAAAAAATACAAAAAAACAAACCTTCCAGCAAATATACTTCTGAATTCCAGTCCACTATGATTTCAGTTGGCTGGAATGCATGGAGAACAGGGTGAGGAGAAGAGTCAGGTTAATTATGTTTGGATAATTGAGGACTAAGAAGGAGTTTCTTTTCTTTTTTTTTTTTTAATGTGTTTTGTTCAAAACCTTTCCAAGACTGTCATGATTTCATTTCCCTTTTGAGAAAAAAGAATCTAGGGAAGATGATTGAAATATCCTTGCTAGGTGAGTTTCTCCCTTGGTCCCTTGGACTCTGAGCCACTTGAACATGATGGAGTAAACGTGAAGAGATACTGTCAGAGTAAAAGACACAGAAGTCGTGGTGTAACTGGACAACTCCATAAGAGTTTCAGGCTGTCGCTCCTTTCCTGTACCTACTCTGCCTTTAAAATCCCCTGCCTTTCCCCTAAAATAAATCCCTTTGAACATTTGTTTTCACTTTCTGCATTTCGTTTTCCAGATTTCACTTTCAGGGGGTTATTGGCAATGTGGCTTGCCGTAGTCACATAGACCAAAGCAAGAAGACTTAAGTCACAGGCCTGTTTAAAATAGTTAAGCAAGCTTTTACTCTCCTTTTATTATAAAAATAGTCCCTTTATTAAAGCAGCTGAACCCAAACATATCAGCTGGTAAGGCACTTAATTCTTTTAGAACAAATTACATTAAAGAAAGAAATGCCTAAGGTATACTTTGATGTCTTTTTCACTAATATTTCAATTTTCCATTATCAACACTCTAAGCTTGAATTCAACTGTTTTCCCCCAACCTTCAGGATTAATGTTAAAGGAACTTAACTGCTCTCGGCCTCCAGTGGTCTATGTACTGTGCTGCAGCTGTTCAATAGGATGCAGAAAAGGCTGGAGCTGCTTTTCACATTTCTTAGGTTGAATTTCTGAGTCCTTGTGTTAGACATGAAAGGGAAGAAGGCGACATAAAGTATCATCTGCTGCTTGTGTCAAGGAGATAAAAGTTGAGGTTTTAAAAGAGTTTGAGTCAAATCAAGACTCTAAGGAAGGTTTCTAAGAAATAGATGATCACTCTGCTAGAGGAGCTAGCACTGTCTTCTACTATCAGTGTAAAAGGCTCACTGAGCACAAGCTAGGTGGGTTAGTGCTATGCCCAAAGGGTTTGGTGGATCAGGATTTTTCTCAGACACAGCCCAGCTTTTTAGCTCTAGGTACTAAAGTCCCAGAGCTGGGCCTGTGGAAGAAGAAGGGCTACTCAGTCAGGTTCTCACACTTACAAACAAGCCCCACTGAAAGTGATCTCTAACTTTGTATCCAATCTTACCATCTATTGCCTCCCTTGGGATTTCTCTACTCTGAAGGTCAGTCATGTCTGTTGTCTAGACTATCAGTCCTGACATGTTTCTGATCTCGTTTTCCTTTGTTGGATTTTTATCATTAGCGCCTATGTAAAAGTACATAGTACATTCTTTCGCATTAAGGCCTTCTGCATAGAACAAAATTAAACTTTCTTCAGTTTGCCTTATAGTCATGCATTGCTTAATTGAACTTGTCACGGGTTAACAATGAAGACAAATTCTGAGAAATACATCCTTAGGCGATTTTAATTCTTGTTTGACCTTCATAGAGTGTACTTATACAAGCTAAGATGGTAGAGGTTAATCGATCAACATGTTCTCTCAATGTAATGAAGAGATACAGTAAACATGAAATGTGTAACGCTGCTGCAAGTGCAACGTGGCAGGGTGCTGGATAATCAACATTTTTATTCAAATAAGGAATGCGGTATAAAATAGTGATTAGAAGTATGTGAGAGTAAATATAAAGACCAGTAATAGTCATTTATTATCATTATTAGGTATTACCTACTGTATATACTCATATGTGCTATACTTTTACAGGACTGATGGAGCACTAGAATTGTTTATATGAGCATCACCACAAACACATGAATAATGCATTTGTTGTGACTTTGCCATGGCTACATCACTAGGCAATAGGAATTTTTTTATCTCTATTATCCTCTTATGGTATCGCTATTGTATATGCACTCTGTTGACCGGAATGTCATTTTCTGTCACATGATCACATTTGAGAAAAAAAAAAACACTCCTTACTCTCTTGTACAACTTGATTTTTTTTTTAGTATAGTGCAACCTGATTCTTGTGCATGACTGATTCTTTTTTATTAGCCTGTTGCTACTAGCACACTGGTTGATGATTAAAAAGGACCAAAGACAAATCTTCAAATGCATTTTCTTTAAAAAATTATTTTATTTTATTTTTATTGGAAATGCAGATTTACAGAGAGAAGGAGATACAGAGAGAAAGATCTTCTGTCTACTGGTTCAGTCTCTAAGTGGCCACAATGGCTGGGAATGAGCTGATCCAAAACCAGGAGCCAGGAGCTTCTTGCTGGTCTCCCATGTGGGTGCAGGATCCCAAGGCGTTGGGCCAACCTCTGCTGCTTTCCCAGGCCACCAGCAGGGAGTTGGAAGGGAAATGGAGCAGCCAGGGCATGAATCAGTGCCCATATGAGATACTGGTGCATGCAAGGTGAGCATTTAGCCACTGAACCATTGTGCCAGGCCCATTCGAAGATATTTTATTTAGCGTATATTCATTATATACCTAGAACACAATTTTAACAGATGTCTTTCAAAAATTATGTCTTTTATTTAGTTGGAGAAGAGACAGGACAGGGAGAAGGGAAGAGATGAGAGAGAGAGAGAGAGAGAGGGAGGGAGAGAGAGAGAGGCAGAAAGACTCTCTTATCCATCCACTTTTTCATTTTCCAAATGTCAATAATGGCTGGGACAAAGTCAGGATGATGTTAGCAGCCTGGATTCCAATCCAGATCTATACATGGGTAGTTGGGACCCAAGTACTTGAGACACCACTTGTTGCCTTATAGGGTTCAAATTAGTAGAAAATTGAAGTCAGAAGTGAAGTCACAACTCAAAACCAGGCGCTCTGGTGTCCCTAGCGACATATTAGCTGCTTTTCAAGCACCTACCCTTAAGGTATTTAGAGATTCAATTTAATTTCAGCACTTTTCTTATGTATTTTTTTCTGGTTTGTCTCTTCTCAAATGGATTATTGGAAAAAGAAAACTAGATGACATAAAGGTAAGTTGAGCTTTGTTTAAGATATCATTATACTTTGTTAATATAGCTTAGCAGACTCCTTAAAAAAGGTTTATTTATTTTTATTGGAAAGTGAGACATACAACAGAGCAGGAGAGATAGAGAGGATGATCTTCATTTCAAAGATTCACTCCCCAAGCAGCCACAATGTCTGGAGCTGTGTGGAACTGAAGCCAGGAGCCTGGAGCCTCTTCCCATTCTCCCATGTGGGTGCACACTCCCAAGGCTTTGAGCCATCCTCGACTGTTTTTCCCAGGCCACAAGCAGGAAGCTGGAAGGGAAGTGGGGCTGCTGGGATTAGAAATGGCACCCATATGGGATCCCAGTGGATGCAAGGTGAGAACTTTAGCCACTAGGCTACTGTGCCGGGCCCAGAATCATCATATTTTATGTGTTAAGTCCTTTTCAGATTTTTTTTTTTCTCTATGGACCTTAACAACAACACATATCCTTTGTAGAATATTTAGAAAGGGTAGTAAAGGCACATATGAAGTTAGAATTGCTCAAATCCCTTTAGACCCCTTGTTCTATTTTGTTCTTTCTGTTTGGGTTCACATCATAAATAATTGTAAAAACAATATCCACCCAAAAAATACCTTAAGTTAATGGATTTTTAAATTAACCTATATTGATTTCCTTTCACTTTACAGTGGTACTCTGAGCTTTGGTTGTAGAGGTTGAGTCTATGTAGACAGCTTCCAGTGACATGCTTGCTCTTTATTGTACCTGGCATAACGACAAAGGAGTGAGTGGATGCCTATCCACCTCCTCAGAGTACTGTAACTTGGTTTACTGCCTAGAGCTACTCTACCAAGCAATTGTTGCAAGAATTCCCATTCTTTCTACATTGTCTTATACAGTATAAGCAAGTCTATTACCAAGCTACTCTTCTCATCACATTCTTGTCCTTAATCCAAATTGAATCAAGTTGCAAGGAGTGGGAGGTGGCAAACAGCCACACAATAATACTTCACATACTGGTTGGTCACGTCTTTGTGATATCAGACAATTAAGAGGTAACTTAAACACTCTGTTGGAGCAACTAAGCGTTAATTAGTTGAAAGGGCACAATGAATTGTTCGTTTTACTTTATCCTTTTCTCTGGTCAAAGCTGATTGACCTAATCAAGGGCTTTTTATCTGGCTGTTTAACTATAGAACATTCAAATAATAAAGTCTGTGCAGTAGAATTCCCTGTCAACCTGCCTATAGTCATATCCTGGTATCAAGAAAGTTAGTAGGTAAGAGAAAGAGATAGACACAAATTACTTTTTACAAAACATGTAATATCTTATTTGTATGTTGTTTGAGGTTATAGAAACTGCCATCTTATCTCTTTTCTATTTGGATTTTTTTGTAGGTCAAACAACAATAAATCCAATCTTTTTTTTTAATAAATCTAATTTTAAGAGAGCCTAACAGCAGGCATGACCCTTAATTTATATAATTGCTTTGGCTCACTGCAAAATAAAGTTGCTCCAGGTGTGACTTA